TATATTTCTGTCGAAACAACAAAATTTGAATATACATACATATGTAAATAAATAAATGGAAGCAATTTTCTGTAATGGACTTCTGCCCGCATGTTAAGGCGAAGCTTTTGGCATGCATTTGAAGATATTTTACCTTAAAGGCACTGAACTTTTGCAAAGAACTATCTTGTGCTTACATTGGGTGGCAAAAAAAGAGTCGAGCATACATAGGGGCACTTTGGCAAATCCGTTTTCATAACACCACAAACCTCGATCCATGTTTTCTGTATAAACGATAGTTGCGGGAACTTGAGGATCTTTAGATTGCTTTGCTTGCAGAGTAAAAGGAATTTGGGCAGCCGTTAAAGCAGCAACTAATTTTTCGTTTTCAATTTTTTTAGTTTTTTAAACTTTGAATAAATAAATATTTCAAATCATAAATTTTCATTTGTTTATTTTGGATTTCTTTGACATTAGAAGCATTTTGAGAGAGAAAACTCAAAATGCTAGCAAATGTCAAAAAAAAACCCAATGGCGGACGAATTGAGCGAGCGGTTTTACCTTTAAATATTTGTATCATGGTTTTGTCTACTTCCTTCTACTTCTCCAGTAGTTTTTTCCATTAAAAAATTAATTTAATTAATTAATTAAATTAAACTCAAATGCTAACCGGCCATAGACACTTCGAACACACGGCCGCTATATGTAGACACAGACGAATTTCTGAATATGGTAGCGATTTGCTACAGTTCAGCTAACACATCGATATTTCCACGAGACAGGCCAATAATTCCGTAGTTCATTATCTACGTAGATGTATTCAGAAATGGACATTCAATTTGTGTATGTATATTTTTTGGCAGAATTGACACACATATGAGCCGCTCAGTTCACAAATTGATTAACTCCGTCTGTTTAATACTAGGTTCACATATAAGTAGATTATCCTCATTCTCGAGTTTAACACCCTAATCTGTAATTAGAAAAAGAGATTAGCCATATAAAATTCGTCCCTTGTTAATCTGTAACTGATTTAACCGATAACTTTTCGGTGTCCATCCTAGCTTTATCGATTGTTTTTGCGAAGAAGAGGAGAAATGCCAAATGTAAAAGTAAACAAAAATGGACGCTAGCAAGGTAAAGAAAGGTAAAGGTATTTTTAATAAAATGTTAAGTTAAAATATATTTATATTGCTTTATATAGCAGAAAAACGTGATAACGGTGGCACAGAGAAGAAGCATAACTTTTCCTTGAGATGTGAGAATAACAAGCACAGAAAATTTGACGGCTAATAATCTGAGATTTGCCTGTGTAAAAAGCGATCTTTGATTGAGATAATATTTATATGTGAACATACTTTAAGCGACTTATGCATAGGGTTGCCAGATTTTGAAACGGAAAAAGGAGTACATTATATTTTCGATAGAAAAAAAGCAGTACATGACATAAAAAAGGAGTGGTATTGTTACAAATTACCATTAATTAGGTACAAACAAACAAAGATATCTTAGAAATCTTTTTCAAAGCAACAATAAATGTGAAAAATAAATAACTATATGGGTTGGCTTTCCAATAGGGACGATTGTTAAAGAGATGGTGATCGAAGGAGGAGTGGACGTGGCACCTTTTCCGACCTTTTTGGAGAGGGCATGAACCGCCATTGACAAAAATGTTACTCCCGACAACCTAGAGCCCCTGCGGGACCCCTTAGAAAAATTGTCAAGAGTCACAATTTTCACTTGCGTCCACAGTATTTTTGCGTAGAATTCGGTTCTCAATGACCGCCCTTATAGGAAAGTTTCCCCAACTAAAAAACTAAAAACTACAAAAGAATTCCAGTCTCTTCCTGAATGTATGACCTTTTTTTTAATTTAAGCCTTATAATTAATTTAATATTTTTCTGATTTTTATACCCGAGCGCCCTGCCCCTAAGGCTATGCTTACACCTTTTCACTATCACACTTAACTTTGCTTACTAAGTAGTGTTTGCCACAATATGAACGGCAAAGTACAGCGCGCAAAATAATAACTGTCGCACATTTTTTTTGAAAAATAAAAGGGTTCTTTATAGATTTTGTGTTTTTATACCCGAGCGCACTTGTGCACAAGGGTATATTAATTTTGTTCACATAACGGTTGTTTGTAACAGCCAAAACGAATCGAGATAGATATAGACAAATGTATACATAAATGATCAGGATGAAAAAAGAAATCGATTAAGCCATGTCTGTCTGTCTGTCTGTCTGTCCGTCTGTCCGTCTGTCCGTGTACACGATAACTCGAGCAAAAATTGAGATATCTCAACGAAATTTGGTATGTAGGTTTCCCTTAATCCAAGGTAGGTTGGTATTGAAAATGGGCGAAATCGGACTATAACCACGCCCACTTCCCATATAACGGTAATTTCCAGAAATACGAAAACTGCGATATTTTAGTAACTACTGAAGATAATTCACTCAAAATTGATATTTACAATAATTTTTAGACGAAAAATAAGAATATTATAAATTTTTGGAAAATGGGCGTAGCCACGCCCACTTATGGTTACATGTGTATATCTTGGTAACCGCTGCACCAATTTCTTCCAAACTTGGCACAGTTGTTGGCCTTGGTACAGCATAAAAAATCGCCGAAAATTTTTAAAATCGGACAATAACCACGCCCACATCCCATATAACGGTAATTTAGAGAAATACATAATCTTCGATAAATCAGTAAATATTGAAGCTAATTTATTCAAAATTGATGCTTGCAACAATTCTTTACCAAGAAATACGTTTATGGTAAAATTTTGGAAAATGGGCGTGGCACCGCCCACTTATGATCACATATAAGTATATCGGTAACCGTTCTACCAATTTGTACCAAACTCGGTGTGGTTATTGTGCTTGCCACATATAAGCAAAACGTTGAAAATTATTGAAATCGGACTAAAATAACGGCCGCTTCTCATATAACGGTAAATTTCAGAAATGCTTTAAACTTCAACATTTCCAAATTGAAGGACGCTAATTTACTCAAAATTGATACACCCTGGCTTACCATCTAGCGGAAGGTTTCGGAAAGGTGAAAAAACATATATTTAATACTTGCGCCGGGTATTTAATGTTCGGCTCCGCCCGAACTTAGACTTTCTTACTTGTTTTTTGTTAACTTTGTAAACATTTTACTTAAATTTTATTAATTGGTCTTAAAATTTTAATCCTGATTTGCATTTGCCAGCTTTGGGAGATAAGTACGTGCGGAACGAACCTCTTTTTCAGGTGTATTTTTTCTTAGATTTTGTATAAAAAAAAAAGAAAAAAAACTGTATAGGGTTGGTCGAATGAATGCCCTCCTAGTCACCAGTTTCGAGTCTTTTCGATTGCTGAGTATGAGGCCTTATGTTGGACAAAAGACGGAGTATAAAGGACCCAAATGGGGGAAATTAGCCTATGGTTACAGAAGATATGTAATAAAGTAACCGACGAAGACTTGCGCTTTTCTCCCAAAGTGTTTACCGCCGGTAAACCCAAATCAAGGTTAAAATTTAAAAACAAATTAATAAAATTTAAGTAAAATCTGTGGATAATTTACAATAAACTACTTTTACGAAAAATCCATAAAGGCCGCTTTTATTTTTCAAAAAAAAAACTGTGCAACAGATATTATTTTACACCCTGTATATGATAAAATATTACTAGCTGGAAAAAGGAGTACAAAAGAAGTACATTTCCATTTTTGGGAGTACAAGGGAGTACATTGCAATAAAAAGGAGTACGTTTACTTCCAAAAGCAGTACGTCTGGCAACCCTGCTTATGCATTTCCCACACACCAAGTGCAGCGAACACACACACGCACTTGTATTGCATTCGCGCACAAAACCAAGTGCAGCGAACAAACACATGTACTTGTGTGTTTAAAAGTAATTCGCTCGTTCTTATTTGGGTATGCATTTTTACGCAATGCTTAAATTTCTCTTCGCTGAACTTAGTGAAGTGATAAGTCGCTGTTATTTTCAGCCATGGTCAATGATAACCCGGCTTGGCTAACACACGGTGCTTTAAGAATCGCTCGCACTCCACTCCCTGAGTAATTTTTGAGATAGTAGTAAGCTACGGCTTGCAAGCCACACATGGGCTCTGCATCAATGCATCCCTGAATAAATCCCAACTCATGGAGTCCCCCAATTTATACATGGCAAAAGGGTCACATCGTGCGCTACCGCTTCATCAGCCTGCTAGCATATCTCACCCTCTCGCATATCAGGCATTCAGGCATATGGAGAACGTGGTTATTATAACGTAATAAGTTATGACTATACCAAGTGATTTGACAATTAAATTTAAGATTTTTCAGAAAGTGTAGTTAATTAATGTGCACTGAACGGCTCAAGTTAGCAAGTTAAAGCGCAGTTACCCACGGACGTAAAAACGGAGAATGTGACACGAACTATCTTATGATATCTGCGTGTTAGCAAAAATTCACCATCGCATGACCGTGACGTAGACGTTGCTTCTCTCTCTTTCTATCAACAGCGAACTTGATATGTTTCTACGTACTTTTACGCTACGCTACGTACACGTTCGTGGGTAACAGCGCTCTTAAAGCGCAAACAGTCAACGACGTAACGTAGACGTAGGTTGACGCAGACACGATCTACCTTATGGGATTCGCGTACTAAAGAAAACTCACCACCGCATGGTGGTGACGTTGGCGTTGCTTCGCTCTCCCTCTATCAACAGTAAATTTGATATGCTGCTACGTACGTCAACCTACGTTTACGCTACGTCGTTGACTAACTGCGCTTTTAGCCTTTGAAAAATATTGAGTTAGTTATATACGTTTTCACCTCTGAGCTAATGCGTAACTCTTTGTTGTACAAACCAATTTATCTATTTAACCGGTAAACTACAGGTTTAATAGATAACCTGCTGTTCTGAAAGTGGCCCTAAGTCTATTTGTTACATACGTATGTACATACATTAGGTCAAGCCGATCATTGATATTGCGGAACCTATTTTTTCTCTCTACTTGCAGAAATTAGATGTTAATGAACCCGTTACCAGTAAATCTAATTCAGCTATAAATAGAAGTAGCTCGCCTTCAAGTATGTCTAAAGCTCACACCGATTGCACTTCGAAATCATCGCAGACTGATTCCAAATGCAGGTAAGCGTAACACGATTACAAAATTTATACTTCATAGTTAGAGAACGACTGAATTTGGTCTTTGGCTTTGGACATGTTCGGCAGAAGAGTTCCGTTCAATTTTTGCAAAAACCGTAAAGTTATTCGTTGGTAAGTACCTATTATGAATAAGTCTGCTTCCCAATAAAAAGGATCAGTCCAGCGCCTTCATCTTGACCTAAATTTAAAAGTAGAATACGTGATGTTATTAAGATCACATTTTGATTGTATTGAATTGAATAAATGAGTATGAATTCCAAAATATTAATAATTAACAATAGAGAAGCAGATCCACATTAACTTCAATCATATGTACGCCTTCCGCGGACCGCTAGTCCTCTTTTCCTTGATTTGACAGCATCCACCATTTCGCTGTAGTTACATTATTATTTTTTCGCACTAGTGATGAATATTAAATTTTCATATTGTACCTATTTGACGAAAAGTTGTACCTAAAAGTAGATACACGTACTTAAACAGTAAACATGTATTTTTATGTGCATATATTTTTGATAGTTCGTGGACTACATCTTCCTTCTATACCATAACAACTTTTGGACTTACAAGAAACAATATTTTGCTACGTTCCACATGTACCTAAAATAATTTGCTTGTATCGAATGTACGTTCAAGTTTAAGAAGCTGAAGAGTAGGGACAATTCAACCTAGTTTAGGGCTGCTATAATCCTGATACCCTCGACCAGGGCATGAATCACGTATGACGACAATCGTCTGTACGATATCGTGCTGAGATTTGGGGTGTTCACAGTTCGTTCCAAATAGTGTCTCAAAATGTAGACGTCTACATTTTAAGACGTTTTCTAACCGTAAAATCTGTGGTGTTGTTGTTTCCCATACAAAATTGGAAAACGACGCCGTCTACATTTTGTCACACTCAAAGGTATGTTTTTTACGCGTCTACATTTTGCAACCTCGCAGCAGGGTTGCATTATGGCAATACTAATCACATTTTTTTTATTTATTGGGCACGTTTTCTGTATTTGCATTTAATTTGAGCGCAATTTCTGATGAAAAGAAACAAATCAAGGAAAAGAAATAACAAATATTAGGAATTGGTAATTAAGTTAAATAATTACAATTTTTCAGAAACAAAATCGAAAGGCGACATATAAAAAATGCACGCAAAGAAGAAATGTCTGGCAACACCAGCAAAGTTTTGAGACGATTTTGCGACGACTGCTAGAAAGGGGTGCTCACAGTTTGATGCTAAAGATGTCTCAAAATGTAGACGTCTACATTTTCAGACGCAATTTGGAACGAACTGTGAACACCCCAATTGTCTTGATTCATGAAAACCAAAAATTGTTCGATCGTTTGTGCGATATCGTTCACTCAATTTTGCTTCACGTAACAGCAACACAAATACATGAATCACTGTTTTGACGACATCGTTTTGTCAGTATCGTTTGAACGACAATCGTTTCAAAGTTACGTGATTCATGCCCAGGACACTTAGTGCCTATAAATACAGTATTTTCTGATATTATAAGCAATGTAGTTTTGTGGCACAATCCGTAGAGCTGAATGATTGATGGTAATGAAATGCTCAAGTTCTGATTTTTTTTAAATCATAAAGGAACAAATTTCTCTTGACTGTGACGTAACTTGGAAAAATTGTTTGCGCTTTTAACGTGGTCTTATGCTTGCCTTACCACCATCACCAAATTTCCACATATACTACAGTGTGCTTCATGACCATTTTTGCCATTTTGTATATGCATAACTAATGTGACCAACCGTATTTCTTTCGGAAGTACAGTACTTCTTCTTCGCTCTTGTACTTCATACTTCGAAGTACAATCAAATGTACTTCTTTGCAATATTTTGTACTTCAGGAGGGAGACTTTGTAACCAATTAGCGACAATTTTAGGATCGCTATCGAACTTTTTGACGCATGATATAAATGTTTTTGCATCAAAAAGTGCGATAGCGATTCGAAAAATCTCGCTAACTGGTTTCTGAATCTCTCCCAGGTCCTGTACTTCTCCGTAGAATTGGAAAACTATCGATTGTGTATACATTCGTTTGTTTCGATAGCGATAGTGCAAAATATTCGATACTATCGAAAGCTTTCTTACATAGAGCGTTTGTGAATCGGTAACAAAGTTCTGTGGGGAAAGCTGGTGAATAATATTTTTAGTATGGTAAACAGATTCGCCAATCTGCTGTGTGAAATTAAATCTTTCTTGACAGCAGTAAATTTGTGATAACCGCAGATGTATGCGGAATAAAATATTACAAATTGAAGTGAAATTAATGGATTTACCACAATATCCCCAAAATAAAAATCCCCAAATCAAAATACCCAAAATCAAAATTCCCAAATTCAAAATCCCCAACTTCAAAATCCGCAAACACAAAATCCCCATTTTCTGTGTGAATATTCGCGACGATTTTAAACCTAATGTGAATGTATTTCACACAGAAAATGAGGATGCTATAATCGACATTATTTCTCAGATTAAAATTTAAAACAAATTGTATGATGAATTCACAAATATTTATTAGGTAAACGAAGTTAAAGAAAATGTAGTACATCGCAATACCTTAGGAATATATTTAGCATGAATTTACATAAATACAAATTTCATTGTTCAGGACATTTACAAAAATGGAAAATTACAATATTTCTTTATCAAAATAGTTTAAAGCAAAAGATGAAAGGACAAATACAAATTTTAATTGCAAACAGAAATATTGTGGGATATCTCAAATAAGTTACAAGTGCAAATAGCGAAATAATTAGTGATAACGTAACGGTGCAATTTCTATGTGAATTTTAGTTTTCTTTTATTATATGTAGCATCGCGTAGGTGCAATGAACTTTTTAGTAAAACACCGCATTTATTTTTTATAGATCCTTCTTTCTCATATTACTAAACATTTTTTTTTTGCAGATAGGCGCCTCTGGCTATCATGGCCTCATATGTATGTATGTACACACATAAACATGTATGTATGTATATATAAATATTGTCATAAATTGAAAATACATATGTATGGAGGTTTTAAACGGTTCAAGTCATGGTGAAATTGTACCAGGTGAAGTAATAACAGCGGGAAGAAGGATATATATTGAATTTTCGTATAAGCTTTAATAAAAAAAAAAACAATATATAATATATATATATATTGGCAGAAAATAAATCGAGATAGCTGATTTATTACTTCGCCTGTTTATTGCACTATGGGGTATTGAATTTAATTCTGCTTGCTAGTGGAAGAGAGGGGGTGAGAAGAAAAGGAAAGAGTACAAACTCGCCTGTACCGTCAAGGCGTTTCAAGTTTCTTGCTTTGCTTTTGACATTTTCGTCGTTTCCCATGCAAAGAACGAAAAACTTGAATTCAAAAAAATTGAACCATGTAAAGCAAATACATAGAAAACACAAAAGATATTGAACAAGAATAGCTTGCAAGTGCTTGAATTGTGTAAATCGGGTGTATGTAACTACGAATTCGAACAAAGGCAACAGTCGGCTTGCGCTATTGTTTATATTATCGGTAATAACATTTCAAAGTTTGGGGATTTTGTGACACTGTCCCCACAAAAAGTGAATTTTTTTAGAGTACCCTAACTACTCTCGCGCTCAAGGCCTCATATATACAATGCACATAGAAATTGCACCGTTACGTTATCACTAATTATTTCGCTATTTGCACTTGTAACTTATTTGAGATCTACATATATCCCACAACATTTCTTTTTGCAAAATTTGTATTTGTCCTTTCATCTTTTGCTTTAAACTATTTTGATAAAGAAATATTGGGCGCGTTCATAAGACGTAGCGTAGTTATAGCAAAATATTTTTTTTCACTTTTATTTCAACATATTTTGATTAAAAGAAAAATACTGATAAAAATAAAATATTTCACACAAACAACAAAAATATAATCGATAATCGCATTTTCCTGAAAATTTTTAAATGCACTTGGTGGCATTGTGCTGCTATGATAGCACGGCCGACTAATCAGAGTCAACTTATGTACAGTAGTCTGCATCACTCCCCATACAAAAAAAAAATCGGTACTGTTTTTCCACTGGAATTATAAAATCTTTTATAATTTAAGACTTCCAACAAAATGTCTCGCAAAAATATTAAGATTTAAGTGAGCTGGACCGATTTGAAAATACGTCCAAAAATTTAGTTTTTTATTAATAAAAACAGTTTTTTTTAAATATTTTTTGAAAAAATTACTTCAGATGACTAACCAATTTAAGCTTAAAAAGTTTGCATAAAACTATTTTTAAAAAATTTTCTACGGAATCTTAATAATAAGATTTTTAATGCTGTTTTTGAACTTTTTTCAAAGACTGGTTTAAAAAAAAACTCGAATAACTCAGCCGAATCCTTACCAATTTAAACTTATGAGTAGGGAACGGATTTTAAGGACATAAAAACTTATAAATAAGGCAAAATAAAATAACGAAATAGGCTAGAAGGGCCAAATAAAATAGCAAAATAGGCAGGGAAAGGCACTAGAATACGAAAATAAATAAAATAAAAAAATTACTTTTTAATATACAACGCTTTTATAAATGGACTAAAAAGTAGTAAATAATATTTCTCAGTCCCACAGAATTTGTTTTGATAACTTTTGATTTTGAAATTTTAGCAAAAGTCATTATAAACAATTAATGACATTGAAAACGAAAAACGTGGAGCGCATGCAGTACAAAGCATTCGATTTCATTGACAATAGTCAAACTACATAAAATTCTACAGCGGAAGTACAAATTTGAAATCGATTTTAAGCGGTCGTTATTCATATGCCCACATACATACATATGTTACTTTTCATATCAATTCAAGTGTATTACATGCGCCCACGCTTTTAATTTTCAATGTCATTAATTATTTATAATGACTTTTGCTAAAATTTCTAAATTAAAAGTTATCAAAACAAATTCTGTGGGACTGAGAAATATTATTTTATACTTTTCAGTCCATTTATAAAAGCGTTGTATATTAAAAAGTTTATTTTTTTATTTTATATATTTTCTACTTTTTAGTCTTGTCTGTACAAGATTTTCCAATAGATATTAAAATAATTCAACTTGCAGTGAAAGAGAACAGAAGAATATGCAAGCACAATGTTGTTTGCTCACATTTAGTATAAACATACATATGTACATACATACATATAGCAGCAGTTTATTTCATTTAAAGAAATGGCGTGTCGTCCATTTACGCTGTGACGTATATAAATAGTGCATATATTTAGGCGCAATATTTAATTTCTTCTGGCGGGGCGACATCTAGAGTCTTCTAATTGTATCTCCTTGATATGATACCTATAACGAGGTTGATATCTAGACTAGGTTGATATCTAGAATTTTCCATAAATAGCTTTGCTACATTTATAGTAGGTGCATTCTTTTGCAACCGAGCTACAAAAGAACACTCGCTTAAATGACGAAATACACGCAAAGCAACAACACAAACTCGGCTATTTATCCGAGCTCAGCCATGTCAGTTAAAATATACGCAACCTGAAGACTAGTGTTGGTAAGTGAAGAAACTGCTCTATTGCGAATTGTTAATGGGAAAGTGGAGAGGGAAATTTTTGTTTCCTTTTATACGTGACTTATATTTTAAAAGAGTATATATATTACGCAAATACCTCGTATAATTACTCATTTAAATTGGTTTTTGTATCTAAATCCCGTTAAACTAATCACATTTTCTTGCCAGCTACCAACAGGGTTGCTTAAGTAGCTAAAAGGAAATTTTACCCGAGTTGAGCGTTCTTTTGTCGCTCGCTTACAAAAAAATGCAGCTAGTATAAATGGTGGTCTGGACATACAACATTCAAAGCGGTCTGGACATACAACATTGCAAGTTGATAAAAGCGTTTTAATAATAAAATAATATATCTCAGTCCCATAGAATTTGTTTTGACAACTTTTGATTTTGAAATTTTAGCAAAAGTCATTACAAACAATTTATGAGATTGAAAACGAAAAACGTGGGGCGCATGCAATACAAAGCATTATATTTAATTGATAATATTCAAACTACATACCAGAGCTGTAAAATGATTGAATCAGTAGGATCTGCGTTCACTCGGCATTCTTTACAAAATTTAGATTTTTTGTTGTATAAAAAAACACTCATTCCTGAGTGGCTTAAATTATTTTGAAACAGAAACAAACGTAATGTGTTATTGAATGGTAGAGTTCCATTCGGTATAGAATGTGAATGTAACAAAAGCACTCGCAATCATCGTGATTGTAAATTTTGGTTGAATGCAAACCCTTTTGATCATTCAGAACTACACTGAAAAAATATGCCTTGACACCAGAAGAAGATCTTTACGGGAGGAAATAGTCGTTTTGCCTCTGCCATTATACCACTGCTACAATTTGGTAAAGCATTACCTATGACCATCAGCGTAGCCAGAATGAAATTTAGGGGGGGAGGGGGGTGGGGGCTCGACCCTATTAAGCTGGCATTTCAGGGTACTATTTTATATATATATAAGGAAAATTTGAAAGTTAGGGGGGGGACTCGAGCACCCCCCTGGCCCTACCTGGCTACGCCCATGCCTATGACCAAAAGTACGTACCAGCTTTAGATAAGCAGCTTTTTAAAACCAAGGAAACTTGCGGTCAATTTTTTATTTGTACAAAGCGATGTTTTTATTTCCCAATACCAGGCGCTCATACATATGAAGTAGCTAGCTTCCCAGCCAGCAGAGAAACGTACTTTTTGCCGACGGTGCAGTTTTCGTACATTTTTCGTATCCGGAAACGTTCAGAAAACGAACTCCATATTTGTTCATTTTTCGTATCCGAAAAATGTCATCATCTTATTTCAAAACAATAATTTTAAAATATTTGTTCAAACTGAGCATTTGAAAACATGTATACGTATTCGCCAGTAGCTGAGTGTGCAGAGAAGTGTGCTACTATTTGTTAGCTTTCAGGAGGCCCCAGGTTCGAATTCCGTCAGAAGCAACACATTAAAATTATTTATTAAAATTGAAATAATTGCTGAATCTTAAATTTGTTTTTTGTTTGGTTTCCTGTTACTATGAAAAAGTTTCTGTGAAGTTCATAATGAAATCGTTTTCAACGAAAAATTGACTCAGACAAATTTCAGGAAAACAGTCGAAAGCGCATCCGTTTTAAAACCATTTTCGATAGTTTTCTAAACATGTGCTTCGGATGAATACTTTAGTGGGAGAATTGATCTGAAAAACGTCCGAAAACGGAATCGGAAAACGGATGAAACATCAGGTTTTTATACGAAATTGTTTCCATTTTCGGATACCTTTCCGGATATTTTGTTGGCTGGGTTTCTATATGCATAAATTTGTTTGTGGAAATTTTTGATTTTTATTTTTTTTTGTAGAAGCCTTTGAACTTTACAAAGTTGAATATTTCATATTATGTATATTTCCCATCTTTTAAAGAAAAATATTATAAATACCAATTGTCTTGGCAAATTTTGCACCCAGTTTTTAAATAACCAACATGGCTTATGCCGCGCAACCGCTGTACATTGATCGCGTATCATATCGATTTCGTTGTAAAGCTCTTAGGCTTCATTATTCCATTATCTGCGGAACCCAATCTAAACATACCTTTTTTTTCTGAGTGTATACAATTTGATTGGAACTGAATTAGAGAATGCACACACAGCAAAGTGTTTCATTCATCTATCGGCTCATTCAGTATTGAATTCTGTTTACTTCAGCATTCTCAGTCTTTCATTCAGGTATTTACCATCTTGCTGTGTGAAATAAATATTTTTTTTCAATGATTGTAGCTTGAAAAAAAATATAAGCCACACTACCAGACAAAAGGAGAAAGAATGAAATCCTACTTGTAAATATTTCATGATTAAAAATTTAAATGATTTCACAGTTTTACAGCTCTGCTACATACATAACATAGACCTAAAATTTCTACAGCGAAAGTACAAATTTGAAATCGATTTTAAGCGATCGTTATTAATATACACACATAAATACATATATTACTTTTCAATTTCAAATCAGACCGATTACATGCGCCCACGCTTTTCATTGCAATTGTTTATAACGACTTTTGCTAAAATTTCAAAATCAAAAGTTATCAAATCAAGTTCTATGGGACTGAGAAATATGATTTTCTAATTTTAGTCCATTTATAAAAGCGTGGTACATTAAAATGTTTTTTTTTTTTTAAATTTATTTTAGATCTAGAGTTTTTCTAATTGTATGTCTTTGATATGATACCTACGACGAGGTTGATATCTAGACTAGGTTTGCCATAAATACCTTTGCTATATTTATAGTACATGGTGGTCTGGACATACAACATTGCAAGTTAATAAAAGCGTTGTAATAAGAAGCAAAAGAAGGCACTAAAAAATATTTATTTTAGAAATATTTATATTACAAGTAAAAAGAGAAAAACTATGAACTATTTTCATTATATCGACCCCTTTGCGCAAGATTATCGTATGTTAGAAGAACCATATTTCACAGGAAATTGTTTTTTGTATTTTTCTCTGCTTTGGCTAGCACCATCAATGCCAAAGTTTAGATATGCTGAGATAATTGAGAAATATAACTAAACGCAAGATTTTTTTGTACATTATATTTTCTTAGCCCATATGTTAATTTCGCCCACAAGAAAAAAAATCATTGTCACATACGATAAAATTTACAGTAAATTTTTGGGGTAGCTATTGGGATTCAAGCCGTAATATTTGAACAGGTGATGCGTTATGGGTTGTAAAACAAAGTGGCATCAAAAACTGAATTTCGTAAAAAATGTAACATACGATAATTTTGCGTAAAGGGGTCGATATGAAAAACGTGTACTTTGAATCTTTGAATCTTTGACTATTTTCTCTTTTCGAGTTTTTTATTCACAAAACTTTACTCTCTATATTTGTATTTAGTAACATTGAACCACAAGATGCATTTGGAATTTTTCTGGCAGCATTTTCATTAGATGTTTGCGAAGAAAAGCATTGAATAAACTAAACGTCAGCTCGACGTGGGTTGATACAAGTAGCGCCCAATTTAAATATGGAACGTTTAAAACTTTCATATTACCAGAAATAAGGCCTTTTTCCTTGCCGCTTACAATTAAAGGTAGAAAAGGCAAAAAAAGGCAACATCAAATGAGTATATATGGAATAAGGGAAAGCTAAACCGCGGACATTCTTCATCGAATATACTCTATCTTTTTAGCAGAAAAAAAGGCAATTTCCATATAATCCGTTCCCTGTTTATGAGGTATCATTGGTACGGTATTTTCTCACCAGTTTTCAATGCAGCCAAACGTATACACATGCAAGAAGATCCAACATACCGCATTCAACAGCTACTAATTTGTTTATCGCACAAGGTTAAACTTATGTGGATTCGCGGCCACGCAGGTATCTCCTCAGGCAATGAACACGCCGACCGAGCTGCTAAATTGGCTTTGAAATCATGCCTCTATCTGCACACGCCGTTTGGGAAAAAATCGATTAAAAACATCTTCTCAAAAGCGTTAAAATTATACTTCGAGAACTATCAACACCAATATACGCAAATAAACCCTAAGGGCCGTGGTATCATCTACCAACAAACACAACAACCTGGATGAATAAATGTTTTATACGCGCCAGATTATGCCACTCTCTTCTTACTCACGAACACCTTTTACACAATACACACCAGCCGACTTGTACAATGTACATTCTGCAACGATTCCGACCTAACCATTCGCCATATCATATCAAGTTGCCCTGCTTTAACTTCCGCACGTGCTAATTTCTTCGCTGATAATGATCCTTTAGAAATAGTTCCTTAAAGAAAGAAGTTTAGATATACTCTCATGCTCCACAGAAACTAATGTTAAAACTACATATTTTTAACTTCTTAAAAAATGTAAATATTGCACATTTATTATAGTTATATTTTCACATAATGACTAGCCGATAGCCTTGGTAGCTAGTACTATAAAATGTATTAATTTATGATTTGAATTGTTATTTAAATAAATAAATAATAATAATAATTTTCCCACCCTTTTAATTTCTTTGCGAATAAACTCATTCAAAGTATGAGAGAGGAAGGTAAGATAAACGAGTGTCATTCCATGTTGAATTAAAATGTGTTGGTATTGAATAAAGCAAAAATTGGAACGTGAATGAGTTTTTTTGCAAAGAAATAAAAAGGGTGAGAAAATACCTTTCCACTGATACCTATATCGGTAAAGTTTTGGAGCAGTTATTCAAGGTTTTCTTACACAAATCTTTGAAAAAAATTAAAAAACAGCATCAAAAATCTAATTTTTATGATTCCGTTGATACAATAATATTTTTATGTAGATTTTTATACCCGAGCGCACTTGTGCACAAGGGTATTATAACTTTGTTCACATAACGGTTGTTTGTAACAGGCAAAACGAATCGAGATAGATATAGACAAATGTATACATAAATGATCAGAATGAAAAGAGAAATCGATTAAGCGGTGACTGTCTGTCCGTCCGTCCGTCNCCCACTTATGATCACATATATGTATCTCGGTAACCGTTCTACCAATTTGTACCAAACTCGGTATGGTTATTGTGCTTGCCACATAAAAGCAAAACGTTCAAAATTATTGAAATCGGACTAAAATTGAGTCCGCTTTTCATATAACGGTAAATTTTAGAAATGCTCGAAACGTCAATATTTCGAAATTTAAGGACGCTAATTTATTCAAAATTGATACACCCCGGCTTACCATGTAGCGGTAGCTTTCGGAAAGGTGAAAAGGCATATATGTAATACTTGCGCCGGGTATTTAATGTTCGGCCCCGCCCGAACTTAGACTTTCTTACTTGTTTAAGCTTAAACTGTTTCGTCATCTGAGGGGATTATTTCAAAAAAAATCCTTTAAGAAACTATTTTTCAGGGTTCGGAAATTCTCACTCACATTCTCTCACGTTCGCGATCGATAATATTCCAAGTCTATTTTTGCATTCTTTTATCGCGAGTGAAAAATGCAAACAAATTTATCATCTCTCACATTCGGAATGCGATCGACAAAAAAATTTTCGCTGCTTTTCATTCGCGATCGAAAAAAGCAAAGAAATTTCCTCTCACTCGAATATGAGAAGTCCGAGCATTGCCGATGTCGGCCTCTCATAAATAAGAAAAACGATGCAAATAATCCATTCGCGATCACTCACAACAGCTTATCGCGATAAACTTTTCGCGAAAAATTTTCAACGACGTTGTATGGGAGATATTTTTCGCGTTTGTTTTGGGTATGCATTTTGTTATGCATACAGCGTACATACATATGTACATATGTATATGTAAGTAATGCAAGCAAATGCTTTTCGGTTGGAAGGAATGTGGGAATATGCACAAATATATGAATTATGGTGGAAACATATATGTATGTATCTACATATAC